GAGTTTCTTTGGAGAACAAGATATGGACATTGCAGTCTGCAAACCTCTCATCCTGGTGTGTATTTTTTTTTTCTTGGGCAAATGTTTTTCTGGGAGCACTGCTGTACTCTGCTCAACAGAACTTTCTTACCGGTAAGTACGTATAAGATTATAGCTTAACCACGTAATCCAAAAATTTAAGGCATTACATACAACATATTCATGATGTACTTTGTGGGTGTATTTATATATTCTCTTGTGATGAAGGAGTCGATGCAGGAATAATGCCAGGTATCCTCAATCACAGCACAAGCAAAACACTGGGCAACTATCACAAACCTTTAAAAGAAAATTAGGTTTTGAGAGACTTATAGATTAGTACAACCTATCCAGGGACCCAGACTAGAAACCTGACACATTTAACATACACAGAACTTTTATTAAGATTTTTTCCCCCTCTTTCATTATTCTCAGATTCATTTATATTCTGAGAGGAATTCTAGCTTTTATACCTGGAAAATATTTTCAGAAAATAAATTCTTTGTTTAGAAAATTTCTATGGGGTTCTTTAATTTTGAGAATACCTTTACGGAAAATGGAATTATCAATCTGGGAGGATTCGTTCTTCCAAATCTGGAGCCATATCATCATGCTTACCTATTGTCAAGTATTAAACACTGGAATCCAACAAGTGGTGTTAATTTACTGATTTGGGCAACTTTGGAATGTATATAAAGCCCTACATGGGACCAGGTTACCTAAGGGACTGCCTCTCCCCTATGACTTCAACCCGTCCCACCCGATCACACAGAGGGGCATGCTTCAGACCCTCTCAGTAAAAGAATTTCGATTAGCGGGGTCCAGAAGGCGGGCCTTCTCTGCAGTAGCTCCCACTCTTTGGAACATTCTGCCCCCAGAGGTGCGATTGGCCCCTTCACTCCTGGCCTTCCGTAGGGCTTTGAAGACCTGGTTCTGCCTCTTGGCCTGGGGTGGGGAGGGAATACCTCAAGCATGGGGATGGCTAGCCCCATAGAGGCCTCCTGTCTTCAGATTTTTTCATTTTGAATACCTCAAGCATGGGGATGGCTAGCCCCATAGAGGCCTCCTGTCTTCAGATTTTTTCATTTTGAATACCTCAAGCATGGGGATGGCTAGCCCCATAGAGGCCTCCTGTCTTCAGATTTTTTCATTTTCTTGGATTCTCCTTTCCCTTTTTAAGAAATGTTTTTAAATTGATGTTTTATGTATTGATATATATTTATGTTTTTAATGTTCTGTGTGGGTCGCCCAGAGTTCCCCCATTTGGGGGAGATGGGTGGGGGAGAAATTTGATAGATAGATAGATAGACAGATAGATTAAAAATATATATATATATAACACCTTTGGTCGGATGGACAGTATTAGGATTGAAATACGCCAAACCTCTAATATCTGTGAAAAGAATTTCGACAATTAAAAAACTATGGAACATAATGGCTAATAAGAAAAGATTTGACCCTTTTTCCCATGCCAAATTGACTTTATGGGGAAACCCAGCTTTAAAAATTGGGAAAAAATAGTGATATGGAAAAATTGGAAGGAAGCAGGGGTATTGATTTTGGACCAACTGATAGATGATGAAGGTGAATTTTAACATATGTTGTGTTAAGACATAAACATCATCTATGAGATGTAATCCAATGGCAATATTTACACTTTCAACATTTGTTAACAACATTGTTTGGACCAGCAGCTTCTGAGACACCTGAGATATTAGAACAACTTGTTAAATCTTTTAAAACTAAAAAAAAAAACAATCTACTATTAGTCTGTATAGGTATTTTTTATCAAATCGGTTTGATATACAGATGCTAAGGGATGAGTAGAATAAGAATTAGAGGTTTCTATATTGCCTAGACAATGGGAGAATGTCTTAACTTCTATAGCAAGGGTGTCAGTGGATCTCAAACTATGATTTATACAACAAAAAATAATATTTAGGATGTATTGGACTCCACTACAGTCGTGTGAAAAAGAAAGTACACCCTCTTTGAGTTCTATGGTTTTACGTATCAGGACATAATAAAAATCATCC